GATTTGAGATGAGTAGAAAGGAGGGGCAGCTGACGGAGGTAATAATGGAAGCTGCCGTTTCTCCATTTCTTGTTCTGAGGAGCTTGGCATCTTCATTCAGTTCTTCTAACAGGAAGTTTAATGCCTAACAGCATCTGTGAAGGCCAAGATGGAAAGAGAGTGGGGAGTCAAAGGAAAGGAAGTTGGCTATAATTGTGCAACGCTAAAGGATACGTGGCATCTCTCCGAAGAAAGAAGAATGTGTGGAATGAGCAAATTAACCCAGGCTAGTAGCTGGCTGCCATACTTTTCTAGTTTAGCTAAAAATGACTTCAAGGAGAGGAATCTTTTCCAATGGAAATAATTTCTCGTCTTACAAAGCTTGTTATTGAAGGAAGTTTTCCCTCCATTCAACTTAGAGCTCCTTTTTGTGTTGTTAAACCACATTTATTTTCATGATTGGGTCCTTCAGCACTTGTATGATAGTTTCTTCTGTGTAAACCTCATCTCTTCAATATGACTTTGTTTTTTTGGTGTAGAAGGCAAATCTTTCTGTTGGGCTGCTATGGTGATTTAAAGTAGTAATTGCTTAGGCCTTCCACCCTGGCAACGACTGTATTTGAGTAGAGTTTTGAGTCTGAGTCACTGAGTAGAATGCGTAATTAACATGACTGAAGGAAGAACTCTGATCTTTGAAAATTCTGGCCCTCAGTTTATATATCTATAAAATGAAAAAGTTGGAAGCACACCTCTAAGGGGCCTTCCAACTCACACAGTTTGAGATCTTAAAAATCTCCAACTGTTGTGAACCCTCTTCTTCCAGCAAGTTCTTATAGGTCCTTATGGAGGACCTTCTCTTCTACTTCTATGCCTTTCTTTGCTGCTTTGAAATTTACCAGAAGTAAAGGGTACTTTGACCTTCTTTCTTCCACTACTGTGGGAATGGAGGCCAGATCGGACCGGTTTCCTTGAGGACAGAAAATGGGAACAAAATAATTTGTAATATGTGACCCTCTACTTCTATAATGAGACTTTTGCACCTCTTTGAGGTCTGGGAAGGAGACAATAGTAAAATAGACCCGGAGCTCATCAGATCATGGGTTTCTGGAGTTCAGGGATTGACTCTTATCCATTTCTCTACTTGTGACAATACATTGCACAGAGAATGTGTTAAGCAAATTGTGGAATTGAAGGTAGATGAATTAAGAATGTTTTAGGGAACCACCTCTGAGGTGATTTAAAAGATTATTTTTAACCTATTAGAAAAGCGTTACAGAACTCTGCTTATTAAGTCTGAGGAAGAGAACTGAAGGGCAGGCTTAAACTATCTCAATAGAATTCTCTCTGATGGATTTAAGTTTAAGTAGAAAATTATATACATCAAAACACTCATGGGAAGCAGAAGTTGAACACATAAGAAGGATCCTGGGACTCAGAATCAGGCGGAGGAAGAGTGATTGATAAGTGAAGACAAACATGGAAGATCTCAACACCAACTCTGTGCTGAAAATTTGCTTCTCTGGCTTTGTCTGTGTCCAATGATCACAGTGTTTCTCCTCCCACTATTTATTCCATTCCACTAGTGGGTCTTGACTTGGTGATCTGATTAAGCCTGGTCATATTCTTTATCTTATTTCCTGTTAACTACATCTACCCCTACCAACAAAGCTCAAACAATTACCATAAGGGTTAAATGAAATTAAAAAATATAAAGTCTCTAATAGTATACAGTAGGCATTACTAGGCACTCAATATTTGCTGGTTGGACAATACCTTACAGCATACAAAACATTTTCTCATCCATTGTCCTCTTGTTCCTCATGAAGTTATTGTTACCTAAAGTTCAAAAAGGTGGTATAAAATGCCCAAAGACACAGAGCCAGTGAAAGCCAGGGTTTACATTCAGAGTATGATTTCAGGAAGAAAACTGCCAAATCTTTCTTTGCTTAATAATTTGATGTTGGCATTTTTTACTTGGGACTGTACTCCCACTCTGATTAATCTGACCATAGCAGCTCAGTGAGAAAGGCCCAATCTTCTTACTCTGACAACATAACTTTTTAAAAATCTCTCCCTTCACTTTCAGTTCTGCTTTATTTTCCTGCAATCTCATAATTGCTAATATTGAGTATGTATAAAAACCTACAGTTCCTTTTGAGACAGAGAGTTTCTTTCTGACCTTTAGCTAGGATCCCTGGGCAGGCTTTTTGCCCACAAATGATGGTAGGCCCCTTATGGCAATTCTTTTAACTCTGTGTCTATTGGAAATAAGTTGTGTTGTGTAATGGCAGGACCTTAACTTGGAATGTATTTTGTAACAATAGCCCAGAATGGTGAAAAGACCCCTAAATGTGGTTTGGGAGACCAGGGCTCTCACTAGCTCAACCCTGTATGTAGTGATGCTTTGGGAAAGCCCTAGTCCTTTCTGAGTCTCAGTTTTCCCATCTCCAGGAAGACGGCACTGGGCTAGAGCTTCCAAGAGCCCTTCTAGCTCTGACATTCTACAGTTTATAAACTTTAAATGACTATTCCACTCTCTAGTGGCTGATTTGTACTGTTACATGTTTGTGAAATATCATGGCAGGTGTGCAAGGTCCCTAGAAGTGATGGAACATTACTTGGTGTCGCCTTTGCAGCAGAGGATGTCTTCTGCTCAGGAGGGCTCATTTGGTACCTCCAAACTAAAGAAGCCATAACCCAGAGGCTTCTTATGGATACTGCATGCCCTTGACTGAGTGAATGCTAGTAGCATGATGACCATAGCTGTCTGTTCATTCACACAGAGTAACTGAGGTCATGGAATGGCACCACATGGAGACGTTCTAAAGAACATATGGGGAAACAGATTCAGAAAGAAAAATGGGCTTGCCCATAGTCATCCAGCATTAAGTGTCAAAACCAAGATTCTAACATAGGACTACCTGACATCCTGTTCATTGCAGTTTTTACTCCACTCTATTCCTTCACATGCCTCCTCTCATGGTAAGCATAAGTAGCTGTTTGATAAAGCATTCCTGGTCATAAATGCATCTATATTCTCCACAACAGCCCTAATCACATTTGACAGAAGCAAAGATGATAAACTTTCAAAGCACTATGATACTAAAGGCTTTACTGAGAAGCAACACCTTAGTTTTACGTTTGGAGAGACTACTTAGTTCTAGATTTATCTTCTCAGCTATAGCCCTGAAGCTCAGGAGAGAAGATTGGCTGAACTTGTATATTTAGAAGTATACCACATCTCTGAGTAAGGTAATTGCCGTGCTCAAATTGATTCGTTATTTAGAAATAGGGGCCCTCTTGAATTTCTAGCTTAAACTTCATTTGGGGTTTCCCTAGGGTGAAAGAATATAAAGTGTACTTACTAAAGAAGTCATCTTGGCCGATTTTCATCCCCTTTGGATAAAAGTAAAATTGCACCCAGCACATAAATTGACATATGAAGCAGTAAATAATTCCATTGTGCAAGTTGCTTTAATGGACTCCAGCCAGAATGCTCCATTAACCAGCATGCATAGAACATTCATGGAGCTAAGGGTTTCTTATCAGGCCAGAAAAAAAAAAAAAAGAAGGAAAGTACAGGGGGGATGATAAATATCAGTATAGCAGCTGAGAAGGTGAAGGTTAGAAAAGCAAATTTAGAGGTACGTACAATGTTTTTCTTTTCCTTCTTTTTTCTCTTTGTCTTTTTTTCTTTCTGGGAATAGGATTAAGTACAAAAAAGGCTGGCTGTCAACTTCGAAATATAATCATCAAAAATCTGAGAACTGGGCAGCAGAATGTACCAGGCTTTTTTCATACTTCCTTTTTGTAAGAAGAAGCTTGGGAATTGGCCAGTTGGGGAGAGGGATGTTATATGCATATGTGTGAGATTGTGTTTATACACACCTCTACATGGGTAAACATTCAGAAACCACAATAGCATTCCCAAAGGAATCCTTCCTTAATACAGGAAGTGACAGCTTTGTGAAGGCACCACAATTAAGCTCTGGTTTTTCATTCTAGATCCCAGGATTTAATTTCTAGAAGAAATGAGACCTCTGTAGTATTGCACAGAGGTGTTTAGAATTACAGGCAACTTAATTTTAAAGCTTGTTGAATACAAAGCACCTGAGCTGGGCTTAACCTCCAGGGATCTCTTTACATTCAGGGATGTCTAAAACCACAAATCATAAATTCTGATGGGCACATGCAAAAGAAGAGGCTACAGAAATTGCAGTTTTGTTATTCAGTGTGACCGTACTCCCTGCCACAACTTCCCTCCCACCACTCTCAAGCTGACTTTCTCTTGTTCTGCACTTGGGTTTACCAGATGACCACGCCTGGGCTATACCAGAGTGGCTGCCTCCCGCATACTGTGGGTCAGGATTGTGAGATTAGTGGGGAAGGGCGGGCTCCATCTCTCCACGAGCTTTGACATGTTTGTTGCTGCAATTTCACTGAATGGAATGTGTGCAGAGAATAGAGAACCATGAGATATAGCAGCTGAGGTCACAGGGCATTTTGAATTGGTCATCATCCCTCTTAAAGATCATACATACCCTCCTATTTGGGAAGTCCCATCTCTTTTCTCAGTCATTTCTTGCTTGTGTTTACTGCTTTGTGGAAACTGTCACTGTTGTTGTCTCCCTTCTTCTTGAAAATATCTCCCACCATGACTGTTTCAGTTCCTGCCTCATCACCTTGACTCTTCCTTCTCCCTTTCTCTTCTCCTCTCTTCTTCTCACCATCAGAATGTTGTTACAAGGTCAATATCCAAATTACCAGCCCTAGCTTCTGTCCTGAGCACCAGAGTCACATTTCCAATGAGGCATCTTCCACATAGAATTCTCTGCAACACCTTGAACTCATCATGTTTGAAACCAAATTCATCCTTTTCTTCTCACCTCCTAAATTCCTGGAACAATTCAACTAGTTGGTAGGTAAACCACAGGATCAATATAAAGGCCTACTGCGATGTTAGATTTCTTTTCCACCTTTTTCTTTTTGTCTTAATTTAAAGGAAAATATCTTTTTTGTAGGAGACAAGGAGAAGGCCTTAGGATCTACTGGGGGAGTCCAGAGCAGCAATCTCTACTGTCCCGCTGGAACCCGTGGTCCACTGAGATGCCTTATGCTACTTTCACTGAACACCCCATGAAATACACTAGTGAGAATTTCCTCAAAATTTGCAAGGTAGGAAGCAGCTTGGGCATCATTCTTAGATTAGCTTTGTTGGTAAAGTTCTGTGTTTCTAAAAATGTACTAATAAAAAAAACAAAAAAGGTAAGATGCAACCTGGGATTTATATAGACAAAAACTTTAAGAGATTTATCAAACTTTTTTGAGTAAACAGTAGAGAGCTGTTTTATATGTGAAAGAATATTAATATTTGTATTAACCATATCATGCTGTTTCCTCCTTGTTAACTTCTTAGTAAGAAATCACAGAGTAATATTGTTTAAAAATTGCAACGCTTGTGTTTGTCTGACTGTGTTTATTGCCCACAGGGTGCATATAATTTTTGGTATATAATTAAATTCTAATTATTTTATTCAGAGAGAGAGTGTAGAACAGTGTGAAGTATGAAATCAGGTATGGCTCTGTAGTTATGTTTGTCACTTTTCTCTCTGGGCTTTTGTAGGGTCATCTCTAAAATGGCCATAATGAACACTGCCCTTCCTCCCAACCTCATTGGACCATTGTGAAGTTAAATGAGATACTGTGATAATAATGCTCCATAAATGTAAAGCAATTAACAATATTTTTATGTCTTTAAATCTCATCTCCCCAAGTAGATTTTAAATTCACCAGTGGCAAGGAGAATCTCTCCTACTATTCTTGCATCTTCCCAAGGGAAACTCAAGCAGTGCTAGGGCACTCTAAGTAGTCAGGAAGGAAAACAGCTAGAGCAGTACATGCAGTGAAATATCGACCTTTATATTTTCAACAAAACCAGATACACACAAACAAGTGTGCTTATAGACCTAGGAATTCTTGCCTTCTCTGTCCTTTCTCAGTTTATCTCTATATGCTGGCATTCACTTTAGAATATCACAACTCTTCATTTGCTATAAATTCAAAACATGGCAGTCTGTATATAAAGTCTTCTGAGGTTGGATGGCATACATTACATTTCTTGCATTATTTTAAACACACCTATTCATGCAAGTGCATATATGTATGTGTAAACACATATTTTGAATTGATAAGTCCCCTATTCTAAAAGAGATTTGAGGCCAAATATATGTGACTAGAGGCTAGATGGGGTCTTTATTCCCCCTAATATATACAGAGTTGGCTTGAATCCCATTCTACTCTCAGGAAAAGTCAACTGTGCTGTCAAGATTTATACAGATGTCCTCAGGAGCTGTGATCTGTCTCAAGGATTACCTCTGACTCCAAGCTATTGCAAGAACTAAATTAGTTCATTGTCTGGATCATGTTGCTACTCTCCAGGTGATACTCCTATTTCACAATACCTCAACCCAAGCATCAACATCAGCCCCTAGCCTGACTCTTTACCACCCAAAGTCAACAACAAAAAGACCAATAAGAACAATATAACACTTACACAAAGGCATTTGTTTGACAGTAGACTTATTGAGAGCTTTAGGAGGACAGACTTGGAGTTTACATCATAATAACACCCCAAACTTCAAATGGAGTATCAGTTCTCCCTGTTTTAAAAAGACTTTATTATAATACTCTGATGCATTGCTCCATTATCCTCTCTCCTCTCCTCTCTATCCTGATCTTGCCCCTCCCCAAAATCCTATTCTTATTTTTTTTGCTTATTAACAGTGCAATTTATCTGTTTCTTTTTTTAACATTTGTTAATCCAACTGAAAGAGCTTAATAATGTATTTTTCCAAAGCCATTCCCTTTATTAAAATTATATATATATATTTATTTTTGGTAAAGAAGATTGGCCCTGAGCTAGTATCTGTTGCCAATCTTCCTCTTTTTACTTGAGGAAGATTGTCCCTGAGCTAACAGCTGTGCCAGTCTTCCTCTATTATGTATGTGGGATGCTGCCACAGCACGGCTTAATGAGCGGTGTGTAGGTCTTCACCTGAGATCTGAACCCATGGACCCTGGGCCACCAAAGTGGAGCACGTGGACTTAACCACTACACCACCGGGCTGGCCCCTAAAATAATATATATTTTTGAAGTAATAGTAATTGTATTTTATTGTAAGTCAAAATAAATACCAACTGCCTTGATTATTACATCCATCACCTCCTGGGGCAAGTCTTCTCTTATTCCTCATACCTGTTGCGTTAAGTACTTGCTCTCTGAGTGTCCTTTGCTGGAAGAAGTTCAGGTTGAAGGATTAAAGAACAAATTCTATTAACTGCAGAGAAATGCCACTGCATTACTCTAATACCTGATAGTGCTTTATTTTATTTTGCTACATATATATACAATCAAATAATTTTAAAAGGAAGATGAAAAATAAAATACCAAAAGGGAGATGGAATAATTATTCCCCAAATACCCACGAATGCAGTTAGTAGACTGGGGCATTAAATTTTGCCCAAGCCTTCCTATTAGCCAAGGCTAAGAGGGAAACTTTTCATGTTATATAGTTCTCGTTGGATGGAAAAGTAGTAGGTGTGTGTGTGCACACAGCACGCGCACACGCATGCATGGGCACGAGCATGATGAATGGTTGGTTAGTTGGTTGGGTGGTTTTCAGTCAATCAAACCATGTTGTAGATCTAAGTGTATTTCCTTTAAGGCTTTTCTCCTTCAATTATTCTTCCAAAGTTCTTTCTTTTTTTCTTCCTGGCAACAGTCTGGCACTTTCATTTGCCAAGCCACTTCTTATTCAAAGGCCACCCCAAGTCTCACTCTCTAGGAAAACAAGTAATCTCCATCTGGGATGTGCGATGATGAGCACTCTGATCCAGTTCTTTGAGTCTCAGTTTCTCTTTTGTTGTTGGTTTTTATGTCACAATGTTATTTGTGTTTAGGACATTTTCCAAGATTGGCTTTGATTAATACCCAGCTATATTAATGTAAAAGAATAAGTAAGAAGAAAGAAAATTGTGGGGGTATAGAATCCCTTTTATATGAATATTTGGGCATGGCATTTTAAAAGGATATATAAACTAGTTTTTCCATTTCCCTTATCAATGAAATAGGAAAAAGTAGAAGAATATGGTGGAAATGCGTAACTAAATCAAATACCTGAAGCAATTTAATTCAAGTTAGCAAACCCATTATGGCACAAGAAAGGAAATCGTGTAGAAATGAGTTACACTTGGTAAAAATTTTCAAATTATTTACAATCTAATGGAATAACTTATTATTTAAAAATCCAAACTTTTTCTTACTCAGAGTCTTTTCTTCTACAGCAATCAGAATTTCTTTATTCAACAAGTATTTTCTAACTCCTACAAGGTGCAGGTATTATGATTGTTGTTAAGGATACAAACATAAATGAGACAAGATTCTGGTTTTTGTGAAAGGCATTGCTTAATAGAGGGGGAAGGTAAAAATGCAAAGATGTTTGGATAATTAATTGACTAAAACAAAGTTTGGATCAAATGAAGAGGAGTGGAGGCACGTGAAGGTACATGGAGTGTCTTAGACACAGAGTAATTCAATTTAGCTAGAGTTTTTATTTTTAAATTCTTTTTTTTCCCCCAAAGCCCCAGTAGATAGTTGTATGTCATAGTTGCACATCCTTCTAGTTGCCGCACGTGGGACGCGGCCTCAGCATGGCCGGAGAAGCGGCACGGTGGCACGCACCCGGGATCCGAACCCGGGACGCCAGCAGCGGAGCGGGCGCACCCAATCTCTAAGCCACGGGACCGGCCCTGGAGTTTTATCTTATATATTCCCCACCATAACTGTAATGGCTCAGATAATAGGTATAAAGGCCTAAACTAAGTTAGGGGCAATAGCAATGGAAAGAAGATGAGGAAACTTTGAACTATTCAAGATATCAATGGAAGCAGGTAACTGACAGGATATAACAGGTGAAGGAGAGGAAGAGGTCAAAGAAGACATGGTTCTAGCTTGGGTAGATGCTGATTTCACTAATTTGAATGTGGGAAACTGAAAGAAGAGTAGGTTTAGGGGTTCAGTTTAGGACATGTTGAGTTTGAAATGTCCGTGGAATGCGGGGTTGAATTGGTCATCAGGCAGTTAGAAATTTAGGTCTGTCTGAAGCTGAGCAGAGAAAGCTGAGCAGAAGATATAGGTTTCAGATCATACAACATTGGGTCAAAGCTGAATCATGGGGTTGGTTGGTCGGGAAGGCACCTGAGGAAGGAGCCTTAATGGACACAACTGCATTCAAATTCAAATTTATACTATCTTTAAGTCTCTTAACACTGATCTAAAACACTACCATCAAATTTATGCAATACTATGTCAAAATACATTACCTCTCCTTTTATCCATCTCACTAACTCTACACCACTTCTACATCTGGCAAATATGATGGTCAAATGGCCTTTTTCCCGACAGTCTTGCTTATCTCTGAGCCTTGTTAACTTTTTCCAATCTGTGCACGCACATACTTTGCATTACTCAGGTAAAACAGTTGTGAAAATAGAAAATGGTAGTTTTTTGGCATTGATTTTATTATTACAAGACATAAAAGTAATCTTGTGTAATATTATGTAATTATAGTTTATATTTATTTATTATAATTTGCATGTTTTCATGTAATTCATCTAGCAAAAACCCTGTGAGTCAGGATAGCTATCTCCAGTTAAAAAATGAGGGTACTTAGAGTGATTAAGTGAATTGACTAAGGTATTACAGCAATAGCTCAATTTCCACACCCAAACAATTTGCTAATACTCAGAGAAATGGGTATAAACCTGAGGAACTGTGTGTGTGTATTCATATTCATTGGTATGATATGATATGATGTGATACTTTATGACCAAGATCAATTATCTTCAATTGTTTCATCCACTTTACATTTGCAACTTGTAGCTTATCTCCCCTTTTTTAACCCTTGTCTTGCTGGGTTCTTAGAGTGTGTGGAGTGTCTTGCTGAGAGGGACTAGTGACTGAGCCCAGAGCTGATGGATAACAGTGAATGGATCATGGATGCTCTACAGCCAAACCAAAATGACCTACAGACCAACACTTTTTACTCTTTTCTGGCATCTTTATCCTTCTTTTCAAGGGAATTATGAAAGTGAACCAATGTTTCAGCAATCAAATG